AGTACTTATGAATGTAGGACAACCATTGATGAAGTGTGTGGGGCTGTTGATGTTTATGTGTAATGTCTCATTTTCATAAATGGAATACGAATCAGATCAAAACATGATTTTTGTTTAAGAACACACATCGTTTAAGAACACACACACGATTTTTGTTCAAGAACACACACATCGATTTTCAGATCTTCAGATATATTCATTCGATTTTCAGATCTTCATATATCTTCATTTGATTTTCAAGAATACATACCCAGATCTTATGTGTGTGTCTGTATTATTGTGTTTATTATTTAAAAATCGAAATATGAAAAGATGAACACGAACACATAAAAAGATGAACACGAACACACACTAAAAAAAAGATAAACATGAACACACACTCAGAAATCTTCGATTTCCTTTCTGGAAATTAAGTTTGCTCTTCAAAAATCGAACATAAAATCGTTTTTGGGGTTTTATTCTTCAAAAAACTGAAGCTTTGGTCAAGAAATCGGTTCATATTTTCTTATAAATCCATTATTAAAAAAAAACGTTTATTCCAAAATACATTTATTGAAAATCAGTGTAATATAAGAAACGTGGAATCCTCAATATTGTTAATGAGTGTGTACATTCATGCCTTCGCCTTCCCACGATCAACGATAGAACCTAAAAACATAAACAACTGGGTAAGCACAAAGTTTAGTGAGTTTCCCCTAAAATACCCGATACAACAAACGTATTATCATGCATAACGGGCCCACACTCATCAGATTGGAATACTTTGGCCTAATCAGTCATCGGACTGGAATACCCAGGGTTTGTCGGCATGCCGCCTTAACCCAACCGCTCTTCTTGAGCCTCTGTGCCTACGGCTTACAGCCGACCCGCACCAGGTATCTTGGCCTACAGAATATAGCAGGACCACCTCAACCTATCCCACCACCATATGGACAACCCACGTAAGATATCGTGAGAAAAACCTACAGAAATCATTCATAAGTACTGAATGAGTACAAAAAACAAAAATGACTTATTTTGCAACAAAAAAATATTAAGGACTAAATGTTTACAAAAATATTAAGGACTAAATGTGTACAAAGTGAGAAATATATTACCATATTAAGTCATTCTTATCGGCTAACCTGGAGTAGTCGGTCATAAGGACTAAATGTGTACAGTTTAACAAGTTGAAGGGGTAAATGTGGACAAAAAAAAAGTCAGTGACTAAATGTGTACAAATCAAATAATATATTACCTTTTTAAGTCATTATCCGTACATATTACTAACATTAGATAATTCTTCGAATGAGAGGTCTCTCCCTACAACGGTTAGACTCAAACGAGAGCTGCAAAATAGTGCTAAACCTAACCTTCTTAAATTATTTAGTCCTCGTAATATGTAACTTAACATATTCGTTTACGAGTTAGTTAAAGGTAACTAGAACTCCTAAAAGCACAAAGCAAGCAACATTCGTGCATTGAGTAATCAAAACCAAGCATATGCTAATTAGGATATCATATCACTGACTAATCAGTACTAGCATGCAGTTCAATAAGCACATACAGTAGGCATACAAGACATCCTTCCTAGATCCTTAGCCCTAATCTAGCATGCAGTTCTCATACACATACAACAGGCATACAAGGCATCCTTACTAGATCCTTAGCCCTAATCTAGCATGCAGTTCTCAAAATCATATTATATCATAACAAACATGTATGGGTAATTTGGGAGAACTTACTTGAGCTCGGCTGATTGCATGCACCACACCCTTTTCTCTTTTTGAAATCCTTTTAATTATAAAATTGATTTTCATTTGAAAATTTTCATACCAAGTCCTCAGTTTGAGTTCAGGCACACCCGAACGTATACCCGAATCCCTCAAACTCAGGCTCTGATACCAACTTGAAACATCCCAAAAATCATGACCCAAAAGTTTGTTTTTAAATCATAATATAAAACCATAGTTATCAAAAAATCATCTCATCAAAACATAAGTCATAGTATCTCAAAACAACCCATATCAAAAACTTCTGTCAAATATATCAGAGTAAACATCCCAGGCTAAAACATCATGGTGTGTGCAATGCGGTCATCCCGAGCTCTTCCCTTTGCTACTGGAAGTACCTGAAACCAAAACTGAAAATTGTAAGCACGAAGCTTAGTGAGTCTCCCCAAACTACCACATACCATACACATAATCACATATAAACATATCGTGGGCCCCTCCCGGCATCGGACAATGTCAGGCATCGAGCCCCGACCTGCATCGGGCCCTGCCCGGTATCGGACAATGTCCGACATCGGGCCCCGCCCGACATCGGACAGTGTCCGGCATCAGGCCCCGCCTGGCATCGAGCAAAGCGCGGTATACATATAACATATCAACAAATACACATAGGATAATCACATAACATAAACATATAAACATTCCTCGGGCCCCGCCCGACATCGGACCGAAATCCGGAAGCATACAAACATTCATCGGGCATCGTCCGTCATCGAACCTTAGTCCGGAAAACATATAAACACAGACACATGCAAGAATCACTATGACATCAAGCATACAAACATTCCTCGGGCATCGCCCGACATTGAACTGTAGTCCGGAAAGCATATAATCATTCACCGGGCACCGCCCGACATCGGATCGAAATCTGGAACATACAATCATACATACGGGCCGGCATTGGTGCCTTCGACCTGTTCCTACAGGAGGAAAACTCACCTCGCACTGTTGAAGTCCTGCGAATAAATCTCTGGCTATTGGCTGACAGATCCCCGAACTGTCAACATCAAAACAAAACCCAATTAACCATTTGGGTTTCAGTGCATAACCATAAATCTACACTTGGGGTAAAAGGACCATTTTACCCCTAACCTAGCTTGGTCCAAGACCAAGGCCCAACTCACACTCTGAAGGACTAAAGGCCAAATAATTAACAAAGGCCCAATTATGACCCAATTTTCCAAATTGGGCCCAAACCCCTCACATGGGCCTTACTCTAAAGCCCATCCAAATATTCTAGTCCATATACTTGTTCTTGGATGGCCCAACAAAACCCAACCACGTAGGCCCAGAAGAAAGGCCTAACACAAGGCCCAAACAAAATTAGGGTTTTCACATAAAATGACGATTAGGGTTAAGTGTTCTTACTTAACCCATTAAGGACTTATTCTATTAAGTCTCATTACTAGAAAAACAGCCTTTTACGACACGCAATGTATGTCGTAAAACGCTCAGACGACGCGCAAATGCGTGTCAAGGAAGGCCCTATCATAACGAGAGACGACGCGCATTTGCGCGTCGTCTATTTACGACGCGCATTTATGACACGCATTTACGACGCACAGTTATGACACGCAATGGATATCAAGAAAGGCCCTGTCATAAAGGAAGACGACACGCATTTGCATGTCGTAACCTTACGACGCACGTGTTTATGACACGCAATGCGTATCAAGGAAGCCCCTGTCATAAATGAAGATGACACGCATTTGCATGTCATAAACTTTAGTAATACGATATGCATTTACGACGCGTCTTTACGATACTCATTTACGCATAATACAAAAATATGTAAACAAATATATACCAAAACAATCAATTTCATCCAATAACATCATGTCAAAAAATTGTAATACATTGATATTAAGGGGATCTAATTGTACATTGTTACTAAGAGGTTTTCCCTAACTATATAACCTAATACTACATTGCTATTAAGGGACACCTTCTGCAATGTAATGTTATACAAACTAAAAAGATATACACAAAGATGATAAACATCAAATTCCTACTAAGTAGAGTTACATCTTGCCTTTCATAATTCTTTAAGACTAATGAACCCCTGCTCCGATAATTCTTGTGACCTGATCAAATAAAAGTTAAAAAAATTAATATGCTAATATAATTATTAGAAGAATCAAACATGGAATATTAGTTGTAAAAGACAAAATTACCCTTTTCTCCATCCAAAGAATGTGGGATTTGGAATAAATACACTACAATATGAATTACCTGATATCAACAATGACAATCACAAATGTTAGACAAGTTATACGACACATCTAATGATTTAAGCGTAATCCAGCAAAACCTTTTATCTCAAACTAGTAGAGGCAATCATAAGACATTATCTCTTTTATTTTAAGAGGTAATTCAAACAAATAAGTTACAAAATGGAGATAATTATTTATAGTTATTGGTAATTCAAATCAAATAGGTGCACATAAGAGAAGAGCAGCAAGTACCTCTAGAACGGCCGAGTGAAAAGGCTAATAGCAAACATTAGCCCTTAACTGCCCCTTCTGAAGAGAAAATGACAACATGTTCCCAATTGCATTCTCCTCACCAATGGATCCAATCACTTCAACTGCAAGACTTTCATCCGGCCTGCCAGTTGGATGCAACTGCATTCAATTAATAGATTTAATTTAATTTAACCAAATTAATTAGCATATAAAAATTTGTAACCTTATTTATATGAAACATAACATGTGGACCCTATTAATTCCTTTTTTAATCATTTTTTTTTATTTTAACACTTGTTTTCATTTAATAAATAGAATAGGAAGATTAGTATAAAAACAGAAAATAAAAGGATATTTGACTTCTCTTTAAATATCAAGGAATTTCAAATTCATATTTGAAAAAAAAAAAGCGAAGCTAACTTCACAAAATATGAAGGAATTTGACTCGAATGAATAGAAAACTAATTTAGAATATTAAAAGAATTTAAAAAGATAATCATATAAAATATTATTTTTTCATATCAAAAGATGATTATTCGTGATGATCATTCCAACAATACAACTATGCATAAGACCTCTTGGTAAAAAGACAAAATTAACCCGAGTTGACCAGGATAGTGGGTCCATTGCTAAAAATGAATATTATAAAGAACATAAATTTCTCTTGTTTGGATGTATTCATTATAGAAATTAGTTATTATGTTTGAACTTAAATTCACCTGTTCCATGTAAATGTTGACTCAAGTTTCCATTTTCAATGAACTCATACACCAAAAAAAAGGAGCCGTCCACACAATATCCTATAAAACGCACCTGCAAAATAAAAACTCAAATGTTAAAAAAATATGGTCAACTCAAAATCTTGATAAATATATTTATCAATTGAAATACTACATACCAGGTTTAGATGATGAACATGTGTTAACAGATAAAATAATATAATTATATCTAAAACTAATATTCCAAACCTCGTCTCTGAGTTCTGCATAATAAACAACACCAAAACCACCTTGACCAATCTTATTAGCAAGACTGAATTCATTTGTAGCCTTTGAAAGCTCTTCATATGAAAACTCCACTGATTTGTCAACTGTTATCCCTGTAAGCCCAGGTGAGGCACCAACAGGATGACCAACAAATCCCAATACGTAAGCACGAAATTTATGCATCTATGTTCAAGGTAGATGAAATTAACTCACCATCTATCCATGATTGTGCAAAGTTAAAGTATGAAGATTCTTCTAGAAGTTCATTTCTTACTCGTATCAGTTCTTTCCGTCAATAACAATACATATATATATATATATATATATATATATATATACTTTCATTGATATTCATATAGTAATACAAGGGTATTATGATTTATGAGAAATATATATGATACCTACCTTAATAACTGTCTGATCATAAAGAAGTGGCAAGAGTTCTGGAAGAAGGCCCTTGATGAGATTTGGCTTGTTGTGGCCAGCTATACTCAAAGCCAAAACAGCTACACGCCTAACATGCTGCCCATGTCTATCAAAATTTAACAGATCATACTAATAACTCATACATATAGAATTATAAGGAAAAAAAAGAGTAGGGTTTTCTCCATTCCGTTGAATTAGACAAAACAAAAGGTTTTCTTTCCATTCCAATGGAATGAAGAATTCCATTCCTCCCCTGATTCCAGCATATATAGAGATACTTACCCGATCCTGATCCTTGATAAGCATAAGAAAGGAGGAAATTTCCGGGTACAGGACTGCATCGATATTCTCTGGTCTTTCAACTATTGAATACTTCACAGCAACAACAACCGTTGCCCTGGTGAATGCAGTAGGACTAGTTGTTCGCTCCTACAAATTTTATATATATAAAAAGAAAAACTAGACTTTATTTAATTTAAAAAACATTAAAGAAAATTGAAAATATGTGTACCTTGAGGGCAGGAACAAGTTTTGAAGGCTTGATCAGAGCAATTTTTCCCAGACACTCAGCTACCACATTCCAGACACCTTCTTCCTCACTTTCACAGTGGTTGAATAGCAAGTTTAGTATCTTTTCAACACTAGAATCTTGAAATTCCGCTTTATCAACAAATTGTCTCACTATCACCTGAAAAGATTAAAATGATCTTGGTTGAAGTCACAAATTAGATAAATGCAAGAAACAGCAACATACTTTCATTTTAACTCAGTTTTTTGGTATCCGAAAAACTGATGTACATTACTGTTCTGTAATCGTGGGCCATAACAACATTGTAGCTGCCAATCCAGTTGAACCCCGGTGCACATGTCACAAAATTAATAAAAACTATATATGTTGCTATTTGATTGATGGTTTTAATTTTTAATGTGAAAGTAACGTGTAAGATTAGGGTGATGTGTACTTACAAAGCTATACGGAAAAATACAAAGAAACTTGTGCTTTGGAAGAATGCAGGCCATGGGATTGACTTCCCTTTGTAAGGGTAAAATAGAGATAACCCTCCAGCCAATGTTGAGGCAACAAGAAAACCAAAGGACAAATACCCCAAGGCAACTGTGGGGTCCGCTGGATACTTACAGATAACTATGTCTTTTCCTGTTATTGGGGTTCCAGATGCAGGATGCATAAAGAAATAGCAATGGATTTTCATTGTAAATGTCATGGAAGTACATTGTTGTTTCTTGCATTAAACCCTAAAAGGAAAAAATAGTTTTTCCTTGTTTTATGCTAATGGCCTATTGAGATTTATAAACATATTAAACTATGCAAACGAAGAATAATACCTCCTTGTTTTCAGAAATAACACCAAATATGAAGGACAAAGCGCCAAGGGCTCCCACAATCAATGACATTTGTTTTGTAGTAACTATTATTGCACCTTAAAGACATAGATTCCCTTCTAAGAATTGTCATCTCATCATTTGTTAATTTTGGTTGAACTCCAAAGGGGAGAAGCCTGAAGGGTTTCCTGTATCCAGGAACAATTGAGATTTTGAGTGAAGCATAGCCACATAGGGACCAAATTTGTAATTTACTCTTATTTTTATTTAAGTAAAATGCTATAATCGGATTTTATACCTGTAAGGACTCCTTTTGAACTTTTCAGCAACTGATAGAAGCATCTCTATATACATATTGCTTCCCTCAGCCTTAGAGTCCAAAATATCAGGGAGGAAGGAAACAAAACAGATGGCAGCTGAACCACATTTCTCTTCCATCACATCCTAAAATGGAAAATTCATGATTTTACCAGGGGCAAAAACGGAAATCCTGAAAATTTATAAAAGGGATTCAGAAAACTCACTGAGCTGGTCAACTCGTTCACTTCAGGATGAGCAACATTTGTTTCTAGCTGAACAAGGGAAAATGATTCAATTGCAGATGCAGTTCTTGCTCCTTCATATGTGATTGGACTCCCTTTATCTGCACCAAATACTAATATAGTTGGGAACCCTTGTACCTTAAACCTGCTCATTAAAGACTGAAAGCAAAAAAACATAATCAGTTAGTAATAATAAAAAATAATAATATTGGTTTAGATAAAAAGAATAGAAATTCAAGAATACCTTTTCGTCATCACAGTTCACGTGTCCAAGCTTCACATTTCCTTGTAAATTCTTTGCAACCTTCTTCCATTCAGGTGCAAGCTTTTTTACAATGTCCACACCTGAAAAAAAAAATAACATATATATAAAAAGTTATAAACTTTTTGAAATTTATTATAAGAAAGTAAAGAGACAATGTTGGTTTATGAATTTATGTTCAAGAGTGGAATGATTAATTACCAAGGTGCAAAGAATTCGATCACCCAAAGATCTTTACTTTTAACAACCACTTATAGATTCCATCAAAAAAAAATATAAATGATGAGAATTTTGGACCAATCAGTGAACCTTGGACCCAATCCTTTCAAGAAAAACTAAAGCATTTGAGTTGATTTTGAATTTTGGACTAGTTGTTTGGAAGGAGGGAGTATGATTAAGATAACTGGATTTATAGGGGTTTTCAGTATGATTATGATTATCTGATTCTTTAATGTTAAGAATTAAGATAATTGGATTTAATTTAAACATCTTTACCTGAGCTATGATAGGGTTACTAGCATCATCAAATGGTGTGAATAGAAACTCAAACAACTGCAAAACAAAAGAAAAGAAAAGGATGAAAAAATACGGTTAATTGGTTAAAGGTAAAACAGAGCAGAAACGTGAAACAGTCCCTGTATATATTAATAATTGGATACCCGATACATGTGCTTGACAGATAGCTTCCCAAACAGCAGCTAGTTCTAAGCCAATAGCTATAAGCTGAAAGGGAAAAATCATAAGCCTTTTTCTTGATTGAGAAGATGAAGTCGAGATATGAATGAGAAATTGCGTGCCCTCTTATTTGTTGAACGACTAAAGAAATAGGGCATGGTAGAAGCATCATTTTCATACCTTAGTGCAATCACACCTTAGGCTTGTAAAAGCGGGGTTCTTCCCTTGGAAACTTGAAGAAAAAAAGGAGGAATACAATATCTGGTGAAAGGTAGGTGTCTTGAATACATAAGTAAAAAACCTAGAACAGATCGGCTAAGCAAGTAGAGAAACAAGAGATCAGTGCATTTATTTTTTTTGGAGTAAAGATAGTAGTTGGAGATCGAGATCTGGAAAGGGGAGGAAAGAGGAATGAGGGAACTGACCTAGAAACTGGTGAGGATGATGATGAGGAAGCAACGACTAATAGAACTGACCGCAAATGAATCCACGATGACGACGAGGACGACGATGTCGGAGAGGACGAATTCGACGATTCCAGAGCCACCACTAGCACCAACACCGCCATCGGTAATCCAGAAAATCGCACCAGAACCTCCATCGCTTTTTCCAACTGCGCCTTCAACAAAACCCTAACCTGTCCGACGACCATCACCACCGGAGAAGATGTCGAACATCAGTGAGAAAAGAAACACCAACAGGAATGAAATCAGATTATTAACCTTGTTCCTCCTCCCCGTTGTTTTCCCCAAATTCCTCCACACCATAACCTCCGATCAAAAAAAGCCCTAGCTTACGTTGTGCAGACATGAAGAGTCGGTGTGGGTTGGAGGTAGTGGAGGTGGGTGAAGGGCGGAGACGAAGGAGATGAGATGTTAGAGAACAGATCGATACGAGTGTAGGAAAAAAAGCGGGGTTCAAAATTTTTTGGGATTTCATTTTCCCTCTAAGAAGAGAGACGCGCGTTCCTTAAAAAAATATAAAGCGACATTCTCAGAGGACGCACATTTTAGATAAAATGTCCTCCGTGTTTTTAATTTTTTTTACATGAGATTAAAGGCACGCAATAATACGTGACCTAAATCCTAAATTTTTTTTTGAAGAGATTGACACTTTTTTAATGTCACTCTCTTTTGCGTAACATAAATCAACGAGTGTCGTGGTTTGCGCGTCGTAAAAGGGTCTTTTTCTTGTAGTATCCATCACTCCACTAGGTCAAACATACAATGTAATTGGACATAAGTCATACTTCAATCTACTAGTCCAAACGCTGGACCCGATAATTCAAAACTAACATCTCCAAAGTTAGGGTTTTCTAAACCCTATATAGGGTTTCCAACCAATTCACAAGCCAATTAGTCCAATGGTTAAGTTTTTAGGCTTATTAATGTTAAATAAGTCAGGCACCACCCACTACCACCTCAGGCAGTGGTGGTCATCGGCGACTCACAGCGGAAACCACCACCTCGTGGTGGTGGTTATGATTCTAGACCGAAACATGTCCAAGCATCTCAAATAGCAATCACACACAAATGCACACCTCCACCCAACACGACGGCTGGTGGCAGCAGAAGGCGGCAGCCACCACCTCACGGTGGTGGTGGTGGTGGGGTTTTCCTTGATTTTTCTCCAGTCAAGCACACCCATACGACATATAATTTTAAATGAAATACATACACACACACCATGTAACATACAAAGCCACCAATGTGGTGGTAGGAAGTTGTTGGAGGCGACAGCCACCACCTCACGGTGGTGGTGATGGGTTCTTTTGATTCTCAGCCGAGCAAACACACACACACATACTCATTCAAAACACGAGTTGAACACAGAAACACACCCAACTCAGCCACTTCGGGTGGCAGGCGACGACCGGAGCACAAAAAGGCAGCCGCTCGGAGCTGCAGCGGCGACTGAATCGCGGGCTGGGCCAAAGCGAGCGAGGAATGGAGAAGAAGATGAAGTCGAGAATGACAGCAGCGAAAACCATGACGTCAACATTCGGTCCTCCGATCTACACTTGGTGCGATGTCTCTCGGATTCCTGACAGTCTTCGTTATCACCGAGAATAGGAACGTGCAAGGCTAGCTTCGCCGGCAGCGGATGCAGCAGCGGGGTGCTCGGCCGCTCAAGGCGGCAGATGGGCAATGGAGATACAAGGTGGCGGCTGTTGAAGAGCTTCTAGGTTTAGGGTTTCATTCAAGAAAACGAGGGGGAAGGGGGCACCGGGTTTAATCTCGTGTTCCTTTCAAACATTTGTCCATTCTTCCAAGTTTAGTCCCTCCCTATCAGATTTTTTTCAATTTAAGTCCAATATTTACCAAACACCCCCTGCCTTTAGAATTCTTTACAAAATCACTCCTAAAATTGCATTTAACCCCTAATATTCACAAATATAACTTTTAACTCCCCAATGCATACACCCGCTAATTAATACGACTTAAGGCTGAAATAAAATATAAGGATTACATCTCGAATCTTATTTTATTATTTAATTACTTATTTAATTAAATTTCAAACGGAATGTTACATGTACGGCCACTCCTTCGTCTTGCCACAGTCCTCTGAAGTACTTGAAACAAAACTAAAATTGTAAGCCAATGCTTAGTGAGTTCCCCCAAGGTACCACCACACAGTACACATATCATACACAAACAAGCATGTTGGGTCCAATCAGTCATCGGACTGGAATACCCATGGTCCACAGCCATCAGGCTGGATTACCCGTAGCCCAATCAGGCATCGAACTTAATGCCAATATACAACAGGTCCATTTAGTCATCAGACCATAATACCAATATACAACGGGACCACACAGTCATCGGACTGGAATACCCTCGGTATGTTGACTCATGCACATAGCAATAAAATCTTAACCCAACACAATATGTTGACATATAACAGATAACAAACATATTCAACAGACATATAATCACGCAGACATAATCACAGGTAGTCCTACGGATCTACCGGTCTACGCGTGTCAGCAGCTATCATATAATCATATAGATCTACCCCATACTCAGCATATCATCAATCAAAGTATAACATGATAACAATCTAATTGGGTCGCCTTGGTGCCTTCGACCCACAAGTACAGTGAGGAAAACTCACCTCACAGTTTGACGAATAACTGATCAATACATTACTCCCAAACATCGGCTCAACCCAAATCCTAAATGTCAAAACATTTCCATTTTAAATTAATAACATTTCCCCAAAATACCCTTGGTCAAAGCTTATCAAAATCAACAAGTCGACCAAGTTAATACAGCCGAGTCGACTCAGGCCTCGTACGCGGGGCGTACTAGCTGTCTGAGGCGTCAGGACCAGATCTGCATACGCGCAGCGTACCCATCGGTACGTCCATCGTATGCAGCAGTCCCCATGTTAGCCTATTAAGTGCTTATTTCTTTGACTTAACACGTCCAATTGCAGATCCAAGGCTAAAATAAAAATCAAGAGTCATAAAGTTTCCAACTTTATGACTTTACATGTCCATTAAGTGCTTAATACACAAAATCTCAACATTTTAATGCATTAAGACCTTCTATAGAATGCATGGAGTAAAACTAACCATCAAGACCACATTTTTATGACTTAAGACCCCCTATAAGGTCTGAAAGGATGACTTATTGATCAAGAACATGCTATGCTCAAGAATCATCATTTTTTGGACCAAAAGCGCCCTAAAAGAAGAAATGGCTAGATCTACATGATAGAGTGATCAAGATGTGAACTTTATACCTCCTAGAGGTTGCTAACAAGAAGATAATATCATATCCAAGATGCTTCCAAGCTCCAAGCTCTTCTCGCCACCTTCTTTTTTCTCTAAGAACACCACCAAAGTACACGAATGAGCTCAAAATGCACTCTTCTCACTTAGGGTTTTCTTGGGGTTGTTTTTCACAAGGGGGGCTGATGAGGGAATGAGGAATGAGGCTATAATGGTGTTTATATATGGACCAAACCCTAAAATTTAGGGTTTGAACTTTCTCCACATACGTCCAGTGTACGCGGTGTACACCCATCGTACTAGGGTCCGCCCTAGTACGCTCAGCGTACACAACATACGCCCAACGTACTTCCCTTAGCCCAAAAACCCTAAAAGGCCACATTGTGCCATTTCACACTCTTTCATATGCTCAAGGACTAAAATGCAATATTTATTCATACATAGGGTTAAAATTAAAAATACCTCAACATCGGGATGTTACATAGTCAACCCTTGGGGTTTGAGTAAAGCCCTTTGCAACCAATCGTGCTTTGAATGTGTGCACATTCCCATCTAGGTCGGTCTTCTTTTTGAAGATCCATTTGCAACCAACTGTCTTCCGACCAGTTTGTTGATCAACCAAATTCCAAACTTTGTTGTCATACATGAACTTCATCTCGCTGTACATTGCCTCTTTCCATTTGGTTGCCTCAGGGTCTGCCATTGCTTCCTTGTAGTTAGTCGGTCCATCCAAATTTATCAGTGTACTATCACTGATAAACATATCACCATCTGTAGTTATATGGAAACCATAAAACTCAGGTGGCATGCTAACTCTACTAAAGAGACGTAGAAATAATGAGTTGTCAACTAGTTCAACTGGAATCTCTTCCTCTGGTTGAACCCTAGCGTATTTAGAGGTTCCTTCATCGTTTGACTCCTGAATTTCTTCAAGGTCAAAGAACTCCTATTGTCCTCTTTGCATATGATCTCTCTCTCTCTCATGAAAGACTCCTCTTCATGCTACAGAGACCATATTCTCACTAGGTCTGTAGAACAAATATCTAAAGGACTTATGTAGGTAGCCGATGAAAATACATCTCTCACTTCGAGGTTCAAGCTTTTCGTGAGTCTCTTGTCTAACGAAAGTTTCACAACCCCAAACCTTGACATGTGTGAATGAGGGAACTTTCCTTATCCACATCTCGTGAGGTGTTTTGGTAACCTTCTTAGTTGGTACAATATTAAGAATATGGGCGGAAGTCTCTAAGGCATACCCCCATAATGAAATTGGAAGAGAAGCTCGACTCATCATGGAACGAACCATGTCCAACAAGGTTCGATTGCGCCTCTTATCCATTCCATTAAGTTGTGGTGTCCTAGGAGGGGTCAATTGTGAAACTATTCCACATTCCTTGAGGTAGTCGTGGAAATCGATACTAAGATACTCTCCGCCTCTATCTGATCGGAGCATATTTATCATCCTGCCTAATTGATTCTCGACTTCATGTTTAAACTCTTTGAAATTTTCAAATGTTTCTAATTTATGTTTGATCAAGTAAATATAACCATATCCGCTATAATTATCTATAAATGTTACATAAAATTGATTTGCATCCCTTGTGGTGGATCTGAAGGGCCCACACACATCTGTGTGTATGAGGTCCAACAAACCTTCACCTTTTTCACACACTCCATCCTTTTGGAGTTGGGCGATTCGTTTCTTGTTGATGTGTCCAAGACGACAATGCCACAAGCATGATTTGTCTATACCATTAGACGAATCAATTTAAAATACATTATTTCCTAAATTTTCTACACACGTCACAGTTTCATACACACCATCACAAGGTAAAGCTTCAAAATAAAAAACACTATTTTTGTAAGCAGAAATAGAACCATTCAAATCATTAAAAAAATATATGAAACATTGTCTGAACAATGCATGAAAAGAAATAATGTTACGTGTCATTTCTGACAAGTAGCAACAATTTATTTAATCTAAACAAACACTACTACTAAGCACTAGTCCATAAACTCCAATCGTGGTGACAGGTGAAGATCGCATATTCCCCATGATCAAGTTCCTTCTACCGTGCTCCACCTCCTCACTTCTTCTTAGCCCCTGCAAATTAGAAAAAATGTGTAATCCACATCCTGTATCAAAGACCCAAGAACGAGAAGATGATGAGTTATTATATTGGTATTTTTAATAAAAGGTTTAGTTAATTTTAATAGGATTATACTTTT